CACACACACTCTCAAACAAAGACAGTGGGAATGTGTAGGGGTAATGGTGATTGCATCAAGGGCGTACACTATAACACACTAACTGCCATGCACCCAAAAGGAAATCTCTCAGTGTGGCAAGGGACCGCAGGGGGTGGTCCCAGAGGTTATTAGCAGCAGAGTAGGATATGAGCTCTCTAAGCCCTCTAAGCAACAACCGTCAAGTGCTCCCACAGCCCCACACGACTACAGGCTGCCGACATTACGCAACGCTCTGAAATAAGTCCACTTCAGTGCATCAACAACGCTTGCATGTTAAGTACATAAAGATGAATGCAGTGCTAAAATTGTGCGTGTGACTTTATTTTGCGAGTGCATCTCTTCATAAAAAATATATTTCCGACCAACGTGTAACGATTCTGGCACAATAAGAGGGGGCCGCTATACGATTGGTGGGATGGGGGGCACACATATAAGCACCCTCAAGAGCAACCCTGAAACGTCACGTGCAACAGCTGTGGTATCTGCCATAGTAAATTAAGTTCATTGAAAGGTTTGACGATGCCATGAACGTCTCGGACCACGGTGACTTAGGGGGGTACGGAGCTCTCGAAATCGAAACTGTAATCGTCACTTGTAGATGTTGCAGATGAATTAAGCAGTTGAACAGCTTCAGAGTTAGCGTTTTGCAAGAGTAAGGTTGACAGCCCATAATCTCTCCAGGTGTGATGAAATGAGCAGCACTCTGTGAGGGGGACGTCCTTTGTGTAGTGAGCGACTTCTCACTCTTCAGGCACAATCACTGGGCGACAATATACATGCACGGCTACGCATAGCTGATCCATCCACACAGCCCCATCGTCGGCGTCTAACTATATAGCTGGCTGACTAATATAGCGACGATGATGGGAGCCGTGCAGAGGATCGGCCACGAGGCTGGACGATGAAGAGAGATGACGGCGAGACAGCGACGACAGCCAAGACCCGGGACACCCCTGAACCCTCCGTCACGTCCCCCTTATATACTTCCCGGCGTGGCACGGCCCCGCCTCCAGCCCCGCCTCCGGCCACGCCCACTTCTAGAACCTTCGAGCAGGTTCCCGGAGCTTCCCGACTGACCCCGCCTTTTACCTTTAACCCGGTTACGCCCCTCTTCTAGTTGGTTATTATATAATGCGCCCATACTCGTGATTACCCCTCCTGGTCAACAGATGGCACCCTGTCATTACATTTGTAAAGACCCACCCCAGGTTGATAGGAATGTGGAATTCTCACCACTGGCTCAGGGCTGTAAACAGGAAACAAGGACTGTCGCAATGCTCATTTGAGTAGCCAATCACTCAATTGCGCAGTGTTGTAGAGAAACAGCGGAGTGGTAAGATACTCAAATAGTTTATTTTGGAGACATGAAAATGGTTCCTAAACATCAAGTTTAAGTCAAGTTTATTTTCTTTAACCAGGTGAGAAATAAAGAGACCAGGATAGTAAAATTTGCAAGTGACCTGGGGCATTAGTCTGCCAGTAGGGGGCGATGATTATTGTGTATAATTTCAAATATGTAAACCCCGATGTCAGCACACAATGGCCAACTTTTGCGAATTACGTTTGGGGATCTTTAACGTCCACTGTGAGTGAAGCAGATGGCAAGTAGTATCATAATAGTTAATACACACCACAGTATTAACCAGGGAGGCTGCTGGATTGGAACTGTGAACCTCTGCCACAAGCGGAAGGATGCGCTACTGCTCAGCCACGGCACCATGAGCGTATCTAGATATACTGCCACGCGAAGTCATTTTATAGATGCCAGAAGGACACAGACAGATCTAACCTGGAAAAGAGTGCAAAAAAATAAATCTAAATGACTGGCGATCTCTTTGCATTTTATAGTGCTGTGTAGGTGAAGGCACAAGTGAATGAATACTCTCATAACGTTTAGTGTGAAAATGGACAAAGGGCGTAATGGCACAGAGGTATGCCATATATTTATTATGATGTTGAAAGAGAGGGAGTGCCATGGGGATCATTATCATTAACAGTCAAGTTCAACCACAGTTCTGGAAGCTGTGCTAAAGTACATTTATATAATAACAAAAATTTAAACACGCTGTAATATGAATTGTAGTACAATTATAATCAGCTAGGACATCGGCGATGAAGAGATGGTCTCCCCACATAATCGCCATCCTTCACGGTCTTGGGGCGCAGTAATCCATCTCGCTACTGCACATGAGCTAATCTGATCCCTCCATCTCGATTGTGGTCGTATTCTCGGGCAAGTTCTCTCTTTTGATTGCCATTCTGTCACCTCCTCTATCAGCCATCTTCCCTTCTATATCCTACCCAAGCCCACTTAATGTTCTTAACAGTCAATATGAGGTATCCGATTAGCGTAAGTTATTTGATCAACATTTATCTTTCTATCTTTCATTGTAATTCCCGGCATTCATCTTTTCACGATTCTTAGTGTATCAGTTATTCTTCGCAAGGCATGCTCTTACACTTATCCAGCTGACGCAGAGGCTAGTAGAATCAGAAGCTACTCGGGGCCAAGGGAACTGTGGTTTATGTACCGCAATCACGAGGGATTTCGACTACAGTGGTACCCTGAAGATCGAACTTAGTTCGTTCCAGAAGGCCATTCGAACACCGCTTTGTTCGAGTTCTGGTGCGTTCGATCTCCGAGGTTCTACTGTATATATATATCACCACGCTGGTCAGTGCGGGTTGAGAACGCACAATGACCATGCACAAGGCCCCCAATTGCAGTTTACTCGTGGTAACGACTGAAATAATTATCACAACACAACACCACATCGTATATATATAAGCTACTACTGATTCTAATTGTAATACAATACTATTAAAATTGCTACTCTGGAAGCTAGCAATATGGATTACGTTGCTGCGTGATGTACATTACTGCTCAATCATGAAAGTTTTAGTCCATGTAAACTGCAATTATTAAATTATCAGACAGCGTTAATCCACTGCTGGATGAAGGCATACCCAAGCCGTCTCGACCTCTGACGATCATCCTTTGTGATAATCCTCCTCCCACCTGCATACAAACTAATTTTATCACTCCATTTCCCCGATGGACGTCCACTTAGATGCATTCCAATACCTTGGCTGCCACTAGGTGTCATTATTCCTGACCATTTGCCATCATCCCTTCTAACCATGACGCGTCCTACCCACTTCGTTTTATTAACACAGTTCAGTAGTTTGAAATTGGAAATCAATCATTAGCATGGGATTCTCTTTCTGTCCCTCGGTGCTTGGTTATTTATTACATTTATTATTGGGCAAAGCAGACACTTTTCCTTGCCTCGTGACAACACCCTATTCTGGGCTTCCAGGTAGAGGTTGAATAACTCAGAATGTCGTAATTGGTGCAAAAGAGAAACACCTGAGGTTGTTTATTGTTGCACTTACATAACGCCGCTGAAAATAACTCTGGAAGATACTATTTACGATTTAAGCAAACTATATGCCAATGTTATGTTTAATAAAAACATACATTAAGGTAGTATAACTCCATTACATTATACATCGGACAAATAATATGACCTTGAATCGAATCTCAGCATGCAAAGAGCAGTGCAACTTGTTGCAGTCGATATTATAGTAGCAGAAGCAAAGACACCCCCCCTCCCCCCATGCTGTAATAAACAGTGTCAAGACAACGGCGTCACCTCGCAAAACGAGCAATAAGGAGACGTTGTGACTTTTAGGGGCCTCGGGAGTGAATGCTGACGTGGTCATTCACTCAGGGAAACTCTGCACTTGTAGGGCGCGGCGCGTGGTTAAACACGAGGTAGAGTGAGTTCACAGTGCTGACCCCATGGCGTGAGCAATACAGTGGGTTCATGGTGGTGACCCCATGGCGTGATCTATAGAGTGGGGTTCACGGTGATGACATGACGTGATCTATAGAGTGGGGTTCACAGTGGTGACATCATGACGTGACCTATAGAGTGGGTTCACGGTGGTGACCCCATGGCGTGACCTATAGAGTGGGTTCACGGTGATGACCCCATGGCGTGATCTATAGAGTGAGGTTCACGGTGATGACCCCATGGCGTGACCTATAGAGTGGGTTCACGGTGGTGACATCATGACGTGACCTATAGACTGGGGTTCACAGTGGTGACATCATGACGTGACCTATAGAGCGGGTTCACAGTGCTGACCCCATGGCGTGACCAATAGTGGGTTCACGGTGGTGACCCCATGGCGTGATCTATAGAGTGGGGTTCACGGTGGTGACATCATGACGTGACCTATAGAGCGGGTTCACGGTGGTGACATGACGTGACCTATAGAGCGGGTTCACTGTGCTGTGACCCCATGGCGTGACCAATAGACTGGGGTTCACTGTGCTGTGACCCCATGGCGTGACCTATAGAGTGGGTTCACGGTGGTGACCCCATGGCGTGATCTATAGAGTGGGGTTCACGGTGGTAACATGACGTGACCTATAGAGCGGGTTCACTGTGCTGTGACCCCATGGCGTGACCAATAGACTGGGGTTCACTGTGCTGTGACCCCATGGGGTGACCTATAGAGTGGGTTCACGGTGGTGACATCATGACGTGACCTATAGAGTGGGTTCACGGTGGTGACATCATGACGTGACCTATAGTGTGGGTTCACGGCGGTGACATCATTACGTGACCTATAGAGCGGGTTCACGGTGGTGACATCATGACGTGACCTATAGTGTGGGTTCACTGTGCTGTGACCCCATGGCGTGAGCAATACAGTGGGTTCACGGTGGTGACCCCACGGTGTGACCCGTGGCGGATTGCGTTCACTGTGGTGACAAACCCCATGGCGTGATCCTAAATCGCTTCACCATCCTGATACCGCGTGGTACACTGGGTTTGACCCCCCCCCCCACCGCGTGGACCTCACGGAGTGACCTCGCGCCAATGCCGCCTGACCCCAATACACACACACACAAAACCTTAACCGGGGCACGGTCTACCACGTGGGCGGCGGACGTGACGCACCACGGCCTTATATGGACTTCCGGGGGTGTGCGGGTCACGCGCGGACGGGCGACCGCTCGACCGGCGAGGAGGCGATAACCGGCGAGGAGGCGCTGCAAGAAGACGAGGCCGCGACCACCACCACCACCACGACGACGAACGGAGGGAGAGAGGGAGAACAACAACGAGGTGACTTCAGGATCACGCGGAGGCGAGCTCCCCAGGAGGAGGAGGAGGGAGTAGGAGGAGGAGGAGACGGGAGAGGCTGAAGGAGGAGCCAGCGCGGTGGGGCCGTGCGCACCGGGCCGGGCTGAGTGCAAAATCGGTGCGCACGGCCCCACCGCGATCACCGCCGCCGCCGCCCCGCCCGGTCCCTCATTGACAGCAGCAGCGGCAGTAGTAGCGGCAACAACAACAGCGGCGGCACAAGAAGCGTAAGAATAATTAAAGCAACAAAGGGACGCGGTGTTGTCCGGTTACGTGTTCGTCGTCAGATTTTTTTTAAATTTCTTCTTGAGCCTCGTTTTGTGTCGTCTCGCCACTTCGGCGTCGGCGTCCAAACCGCCCGTTTCAGTCGAGCCCCGGCGAGGCCAGCAACGGCGGCGGCGTCGGCAAACAAAGGAACGCCTGGACCAAGTTTCCTTCGGCGTTATTCATCGTCGTCCCTCTTCATCTGGGTGACTTCGCTCAACTCGGCGGAGTTGTCCGTCGCCCCGAACCGCTCGATTCGCGACCCCGACGGGGAGAAGAAGAGGAAGCGGCAAAAACACGGAACGCGGGAGGATCCGTCAACCTCGTCCTCTACCCGCTCCTTCCGCCTCCTTCCGTTCCTCGCCACCGTCTCCCCTGCTCGTGCCGCCTCGCGCGCTCCTCCAACCGCGATCGTCGTCCGTTCCATCGGTGAAGCGCGAAGGCCGAGGAGGAGGAGGAGGGAGGAGGAGAGGCAACCATGAACCCGAACCGAGCGCGCCTGATGTGCATGCTGGCGCTCACCATCGCCTTCTTCTTCGTTGAGCTGGTGGTGAGTCGCATCACCGAGTCGCTCGCCATGCTGTCCGACTCGTTCCACATGCTGTCGGACGTGATCGCGCTCTGCGTCGCCCTGGTGGCCGTCAAATTCGCGGAGCGCACCGAGTCCACGAGCAAGAACACGTTCGGCTGGATCCGCGCCGAGGTGATGGGCGCCCTGGTGAACGCGGTCTTCCTCACGGCGCTTTGCTTCACCATCGTGCTGGAGGCCATCGAGCGCTTCACCGAGCCGCGCCGCGTCGATCAGCCCCTGCTCGTGCTGGGCGTGGGCCTCGGCGGCCTCCTCATCAACCTCATCGGCCTGTGCATCTTCCGCGGCCACAGCCACGGCCACGGGCACAGCCACGGCGGCCAGGCCGGCCACGGGCACGGGCACGGCAAGAGCAACGGGTGGAAGAAGAACTCTAGCGAGGAGCGTGCCAACCCCGGGGAGACGTCGCAGTTCATCCAGTCCGTGGGTGCCGCCGAGCAGGGACCGCGCATCATCCCCGACAAAGACGCCATGGGCGGTACGGGGCCCGCACCACCACCACCACCAACCCGTTACACTTTCACACGTCGCACGCACGCATTCATTCATGTCGCATTGTTGCCGTGTTTACCATGCCAGCCTGTCACCATGTCGCGTCGTCACGATACCGTACTGTTACCATGCTTTGTGCCGTGTCACCATGTGTTACCCCTGGCCCACGCTGTTGCCATTTCAATCTTGTCAGCCTGTTTCCCATGACGGTGTACCTCTCAATCCCGTCACGTTGTTACCACGCCACCGCTTTCGGCCAATAATCTTGCCACCGTGTTAACCTTGTCGTTACTCAGTTATCATGTCACGCTGATTCATCTCGTGGTGTTTGCTCGCATGCCGTTCGTTTTGTGGCCTGGTGACCGTTCAAAACCATTAACTACAAACGGCCATGCTCGTATTAGACTTTATCCAAGCCATATCCGTGACATCGACTGCATATTCAGCTTCAACCAGTCTCATCCTCTCACCCTAGCTCAAACCACGAGCAATCCAAATCGCAACCTTACCCTAGCGCCTATTTCTGATTATGAATCGATGCCCAGGTTACAAAAAGTGGGACCGAATGCCAGCCAATCAAATTTGAATGGGGCTCCAAGCAGTGCGTGCTTTCACGTCAGTGCCCTCGCAGTAACCGTTAGGCTGTTCCATATTCACACAGCAGCAACAGCAGGAAACAGGAGGCCTCTCTTGTGCCGAACCCCCCCCCACCACACACACACATTTCCGATTTGAAAAAATAAAGATGAGGTGAGGATTGCTTCGAGCGTCTAGATGGTGGTGTGTGTGAGATCCATGAGGTCTGGAGGTGGCCGGCCATGACCCAGAAAGTGATTGGGCTTTATTGACAGCGTGGCGTAGTCTCCTTGCATCTTCCGATTTTTAATGTGTTGCGGTCGAGCTGTGGTGCTTTTGAGAAGTGAGCTCAACATCGCTGTGTCGCTTTGACACCCGGATGTGTGGCGACTTCCTGTCGAATACTGTATGCTCTAAATGCTCCATTGCTTTGAGGTTATACCAAACATTTCATGAGAGAATGTCGCTTGTTGTTGGCCATTATTAAGTGACAGTTTCTGATAATTGTTCCACATGTCTAGTGGTCTTGGCATAATGGTACCTGACCTTAAAGAAGCTGTGCCGTGGTCCCGTTTTTTTAATTAAAATATTTCAGGATAATACATTCAGATGGAACATCCATTTGCAAGGTATTGCGGGGTGTCAATTGACACGGCTCATACGAACATTTATTAAAGTAATTGAAAAATTCTATTTCATTTAAGAATATTTTAGAATTAATAATCGAGTTAAAAGTAAGCTGCTGGTCTTTGAATTATAACGAATGATTCATTTTCATAATGTTTACACCGCATTTCTAATATATGATAAGTTTGGATTTCATTTTAAACATACTTTATGCACCGCAAATGTAATATAAAATGTTTGTCCTCACAATCACAGCTTTTTCCAAAAATAGAACACATTTCTAAGAGTGATATTGAATGTAGCATCGAATGCCATATCAGGTGTGGTGACCTATTTAGTAACTACAGAGTGAGGTATGATGAATGTCGGTGTTAATATTTCTCAAATTTTCTTGTTCAGATGTCAAGTTGGCGTGCTCAGAACCTTTGCCACATGTCAACGGCAACCTGCAGAATGGCGATATGGCGACCGGTGTGGATCTGGAGATGGCAGAGGAGTCTGCTTCCCAGATGAATATGCGTGGTGTGTTCCTGCACGTGCTGGGTGATGCCCTCGGCTCTGTGGTGGTCGTGGTCAATGCAATTTTGTATCACTTTTTCCAGGATACTTGCACTTCTGGCGAAGAAAGATCCTGTTGGGTCTATTACTTAGACCCCAGCTTGTGTTTGGTGATCGTTTTCATTCTTTTGGGCACCACATTCCCCCTGCTGCGCGAGTCGGCACTGATCCTTTTGCAAACGGTGCCCAAGCACATCGATGTGCGGGTGTTGACGGAGCGACTTCGCAAGATCGAAGGCGTGCTGGCGGTGCACGAACTGCATGTGTGGCAGCTTGCGGGAAGCCGCATCATCGCGACGGCGCACATTAAGTGCCAGGGCCCGGCCTCCTACATGGAGACTGCAAAGCTTATTAAAGCTTTCTTTCACAATGAAGGCATTCATGCCACCACTGTGCAGCCCGAGTTTGCAGATGATGGCCTCTCAGGTTCGCGTATGGCTCTCTGCGACCTATCCTGCCAAACGCAGTGTGCGCCTAAGCTTTGCTGTTCTACCGGTAAAGTGATAGCTGGTGACTGGAACGGACAGCAGCAGTCTGGACCTGGAAACGGCAACAACCTAGAGACTATCCGAGAGACACCGGAGCCCAGCCGGGAGTCACCTGCACACTGTGAACTGAAGGAGGGAGACGAAATCAGCATTGACATCAAACCTGCCTCTGCGGAGGATAAAGTGGGAACAGAGAGTGAAAGCCAGATGTAACGTGTATATTTGGAAAGTCACTTTTATCCATTGGTTATGTGTGAACGTGTGTACAGGTTCATGATGAGGAGTAGGCTTAACTTTGCATTGTACCAATTCATTAACAATACATTTGGTAAGGATCTTGACAATAGATCAGCAGAGCATATATTTATTAAGTTTTCCTTTGGATAATTTGTATGAATGCAGAACTCATTCGACGATGCCAAGTTTAGCCTATTTCAAGGTTTTTTTCATGCCGTTGTGAACGCTGCGGGAGTTGACGTGCTTATTTGGTAATCGAGTGGTAAAATTGGTGGCACTTCATCAGAAATGGAGACGTAGCTCCAGTGTGACAGTATGGTCACTACTGTGCACAAAGGAATTGTGATGTGTTTTGTCATACTTCAACTTAACTACATCTTGTATCCATTTGTGGATCTCCAAACATCGCTCAATGCAATTAGAGTACTTGTAATTTAAGTATATATTGCCTTTGTATTTCGATTTTTTGTTTCATTGTTACAGTTTCACTGTAGTTTTGTGAATACTTGACTAAAAACATTTGAATGCCATCGTTTGGGTTATTGCTCTATTACCAGCAGTGCACAGTAACATTGCAAAAATGTTTCTGTTCACATTGGCTTTTTAGTGTGGATCATCAGTTGCATAACACCACGGCAAATGGTCACAGTTGACTCTTTTTTAAGAACAGAAACTTACATTGTGCCATGCTGTTTGTCTTTGAACAGTAGTAGCATAAAGTACAATCCGTTTTCTACCAGGTTTAGCTTATGCTTGCAGTGGTGTGGCAGAGGCCTCTTGCCAGTAGTGATTAATATTTCTTTAGAGGCCCCTGCACTCTTGGTGCTTTTGCAAGCTTGACCGTGCATGCAGCTTTTAGGACTATTAACTCTCCTGAGCAAAAATTAGATTTTCGAAATAACATGAAGTAAATTATAGCATTGGAAACTGGATATTTGCCTCCGATTTTTATACGTAAAAAAACACTTGTTAATGACATTAAAGAGTTAATTTTGCATAAGCAAAAGTAGACATGTTTCTGATAAATGGTGATTATGCCATGTGTCGGTCCATTCTTTTTTTTTATTGACTAAAGTGGTGGAACCACAATTGAGAGAATTGTTTCCCTCAGTCAACTCAACAATTGTAAACTTAAAGATAGTATTAAAACATACCATTGTTGTGTACTTGCTCTTTTACTTGAATTTATTTTCATTGAAGAAATTTGTGTTTGGATTCTTATTCATTAAACATTTAACTTTGATATTTGTACCGATTACATTGTTCAGCTAATCGGATTTTAAAGGCGTTTAGTTAATGTTGACTTAAATATAGGCCAAACATTGGTTTTTTTTGCTTAAAGTGATTATATTTCCCTAAAATGCTATTTATTTGGCCTATTCCGTGATTGGTTTGTGTTACTCGGCTACCCATTAAATGACGTTTAAAGAAATTAAAGCATTATTTGAGCTCATTTGCCTTTTTTCTCCCACTGAAACTGGACGAATGGAACTGGCCACATTGCCACTTATGAATGCATGCTAATTGCGAGGTGGAGAATAAAATTAAAAAAAAACTTCTACCCTTTAAAGTAATAATTACAGCTTCTATAGCACCTTGCATAAAATCTCAAGTAATGGACTAAACATTAGTACAACGGCCCAGGTCCACTGATGTCAACATTTGAATGTGATTACAGAGGAGGCCTCATTTGCCTCGTTCACATCTAAATGTATATTTTGTGAGTGGTGAATTAAATGTCTAAATATGCAAAAAGTTAAGTTTTTTTTTAGTTTTACAAAAAAGGGGAGATTTCCTGTGGATTTCACTGCAAACACATCTGAGTGAATAGTCATAAAAGCTGGACTTCGGTTTTACTATTAAAAAAATCACATTTGCCCTCATTTACGAGTGGCAGATAAATTGTGTATTTGAATAATTTTTATTTCTTAGTATTTTGCGTGGTTGGGTGAAAATTTACTATTCAGTGTTCTGATTGTTGTGTATGTTATGCAAAGTTTTTCAAACATCATTGTTTTATTTGTCTACACTACTTTAGCTGTTTGTAGCTGGTTCTTGAATAATATTTTTATGTATAGCTCTTTCCATTTCTAAAAACAATCGCTATAACCTTGTCTTTTTAGATTCATACCTCATTAAAGTGCGCTTTAAAATTACCACTTGTAATTTCATGCTGTTTATCATTTCATGACATTCAGCACACCATCTGCAACAGCTAAGGCTGATTTAGAAGATGCATGGTTTGTATCGTTAACTAATAGTATGGTGGCTCATCCAAAATAAAAAAAAATTATAGACCTGTATTGAGGTATTTTAAAAATAAAAAGCTTGTAAATACTATACAATGTGCAACTAGACTCCACCCTAAAATGATTGCGCTTTTGTATTCTCAAAAGTGACTACCTCAAAAGCAGGCAGCAGTGTATTTTCAAATCAGCACAAGTGTAGCTATTTAGAAAGAAAACCCTGCCAATTCTGTACTCCATATTTAATAATTTGTTAAAGTTTAATTACCCAACAGTATGTGCTCTCATGAAATTAACAATTAACAGGTATATGTGCTGATTACGTGAACTGGTGACAATAAAAAAACTGGCAATTTTACAGCATGCCAGGGCTGGATTTTCCCTGCATAGTGCATATTTTTTTAGATGTAATTAATACATTTTCCTGCATAATCGGCCAGGTGATTTATGCTATTAGCCTGTGAAGTAGGCCAATGTATTATTGGCTGACGTTTACTTTAAAATTATCATCTTTAAAGACTACTTTTCCTGTGCAAGCATCCAGTTTATAATTGAGCACCTTACACGAAAACTGTATACACATACTGTATATTAACTTATTGATCTGGGAAATATGGGACAAACGGATTTTTAAACGTCTATCTTGGGGAACAAAGTTAAGTCGCGCACAGAGATCGCATGAATAAAGTGGTTCCCATGTACAACGTTGACGGAGCTGTAACATTAACTATCAATTTAAATTCACTGTAATTTGGCAATCTTTCTTGGTATGATTTAGATGCGGCACAGCAGTGTAATAATTAAATAGTTTACACTGACTGGATGTTGCTTTGTCATCCCAACTTTTAACTAGAAAACCATATTGACACTTTTGAGAAATGTTTGACACCAAGTAACCCCCTATTCCGTGAGAGCATCATGTCCTTCGTTATTGTGCTGGAAAAGTACTCGAATGTGTTATCTGCTGAAGCATGTGATCGTGTCGTATGCCAAGGGTCACGATTCCGCATCTCCGAGCTTATGACCGCGTGCGTTGCCTGGCCAACAATCGTCCTTTTTTTATTTCACACACTGCCATTGTGGGAGAACCAATGTCTTCACATTGACATCTGTAGCACGATGCATGTGCTTGTTTCACTTGAATAGAGTGCTTGTGTGTGTTTTACTGCCATTAATTTAACACCCAGAATCAAAACCAGAAGAGACAAGGAGATGCACTCTTATTAATAATGTTCACATTCACAGTGAACGGTTTTTTTTAATTGTTTTGGAAAAAAAACTGAAGCACAAATGGAGAGCGTATAAATAATCCGAATGAATTGTAATTTTTTTTACAGTGAATGGATATACAATATGGAAATTATTGTAGAACTTACAAAGTTGGGATGAAGATAAATACAGTTTGAGCAAAACAAGTCATACATAACATGATTGCTAAACAAACAAAAAGATGGAGTGCTTCTAACAAACTGCGGTTAAAAGAAAATATAGTTTTCGATTCTTGCATATTATCTGCTTTAACATAGGTGGAAACATAGACGAAGAAATTGGGACAAAGGCAGAAGCATGACAGGATATATTCTAAGAATTAGAGACAAAACTGGGGACACGTGGACGAGAGAACAAATGCTTTTTCGTGACAATACTTTAAGAAACGTGGGCTTGGGCAAAACATTTGCTAGAAGGGATGATGGACGAGTTGACGGAATAGCAGCCAAAGCTAAGAACACGCCCGAGAGGATGACCAGAGATGGTGCGATGGGATAATCTTATGTGCAGACGAGACTTGTTCAGCTGTGGGCTGATCATGGCTGATAATGATGCTTAAAACAAACGGTTTTTTTAACATTTTATATTTTACAAATGAATGGAGATGCGCGGTTTATAGGTTAGACATTTGATGAAGTAATGGTTAAAAAGTAGTCACACAAGGCACAGTTTCCCAACAACAAATTTTCTGCAACTTAAATCATGAGGAACAAAACAAAAACTCAACGCATTCGTCAATAATTGCTTTAGAAGGAAAATATATATAAAAGGTGCCGTTTTGAGCAATGGCCCTTATACATTGCACAAACAGGCCAGGGGAATAAGAGTGGATAAGAGTTGGAGACTACACTTTAAAAAATGCTTCTTGATGAACAGTTTTTACATTGGCATATGAACAGTTACATATTAGTGGCTATTGAGCAACAGAAACATGCTTCAATAATCACAAATGTAAGACTAACAATAAAAATGTGCAGTTTCCAACTAATCCACTATCTCTGGCCTATGTTTACAGTGAGGGAAAAAAGTATTTGATTTTTTGGTGATTTTGAACGTTTACCCACTGACAAAGAAATGATCAGTCTATAATTTGAATGGTAGGTTTATTTGAACAGTGAGAGACAGCATAACAACAAAACTGAAAAACGCATGTCAAAAATGTTATAAATTGATTTGCATTTTAATGAGGGAAATAAGTATTTGACCCCCTCTCAATCAGAAAGATTTCTGGCTCCCAGGTGACTTTTATACAGGTAACGAGCTGAGATTCGGAGCACACTCTTAATGGGAGTGCTCCTAATCTCAGCTTGTTACCTGTATAAAAGACACCTATCCACAGAAGCAATCAATCAGATTCCAAACTCTCCACCATGGCCAAGACCAAAGAGCTCTCCAAGGATGTCAGGGACAAGATTGTAGACCTACACAAGGCTGGAATGGGCTACAAGACCATTGCCAAGCAGCTTGGTGAGAAGGTGACAACAGTTGGTGCGATTATTCGCAAATGGAAGAAACACAAAAGAACTGTCAATCTCCCTCGGCATGGGGCTCCATACAAGATCTCACCTCGTGGAGTTGCAATGATCATGAGAACCGTGAGGAATCAGCCCAGAACTACACGGGAGGATCTTGTCAATGATCTCAAGGCAGCTGTGACCATAGTCACCAAGAAAACAACTGGTAACACACTACGCCGTGAAGGACTGAAAACCTGCAGCGCCCGCAAGGTCCCCCTGCTCAAGAAAGCACATATACATGCCCGTCTGAAGTTTGCCAATGAACATCTGAATGATTCAGAGGACAACTGGGTGAAAGTGTTGTGGTCAGATGAGACCAAAATGGAGCTCTTTGGCATCAACTCAACTCGCTGTGTTTGGAGGAGGAGGAATGCTGCCTATGACCCCAAGAACACCATCCCCACCGTCAAACATGGAGGTGGAAACATTATGCTTTGGGGGTGTTTTTCTGCTAAGGGGACAGGACAACTTCACCGCATCAAAGGGGCGATGGACGGGGCCATGTACCGTCAAATCTTGGGTGAGAACCTCCTTCCCTCAGCCAGGGCATTGAAAATGGGTCGTGGATGGGTATTCCAGCATGACAATGACCCAAACACATGGCCAAGGCAACAAAGGAGTGGGTCAAGAAGAAGCACATGAAGGTCCTGGAGTGGCCTAGCCAGTCTCCAGACCTTAATCCCATAGAAAATCTGTGGAGGGAGCTGAAGGTTCGAGTTGCCAAACGTCAGCCTCGAAACCTTAATGACTTGGAGAAGATCTGCAAAGAGGAGTGGGACAAAATCCCTTGAGATGTGTGCAAACCTGGTGGCCAACTACAAGAAACGTCTGACCTCTGTGATTGCCAACAAGGGTTTTGCCACCAAGTACTAAGTCATGTTTTGCAGATGGGTCAAATACTTATTTCCCTCATTAAAATGCAAATCAATTTATAACATTTTTGACATGCGTTTTTCTGCATTTTGTTGTTGTTTTTCTGTCTTTCACTGTTCAAATAAACCTACCATTAAAATTATAGACTGATCATTTTCTTTGTCAGTGGGCAAACGTACAAAATCAGCAAAAAATCAAATATTTTTTTCCCTCACTGTACGTGCTACAAAGAAGGGTCAAGAGCCCGAAGCACCGTCGATTATATATTTAAATTTAAGGCAGTGTTATCGAATAATGTTTTGAGTTTGTTATTTAAACAGCACCGTAATTGCAGTATCACCAAATCACGTTTTATGAGGAATATTTACCATAACACTAATTATAAATGTATACGGTGCTCTCATACATACAATTAAATATTAAATATATATGAGTGACGAGCCCAAAGGGTTGAATCTGAAATAATGTATACATGTGTAGTGACGTTAAGGGTGTCACTATGGTGGTAGCGCCAGGCACTGTCATAACAGTGCTACTGTGTGTCCGAAACCTTTCTCTGGGGCCAGAGTGATTATGGCATGCGAACGGGCCCTAGGGGGCATAGTCCTGGTGACGGCCTGAGAGAGGGCAAGTCAGGACATGGTAGTCTGGGTGAACCCGAGAGGGCACGTGACCGGGACAGGGTAGTGAGGGGGGCCCGAGGGGGGCTTGAGGGACACGTGACGCTCCGTCGAGATCCTTCGGGAAAGGTCTCGAAGGGGCGTGGCCGAAAGAGGAGCGAGGCCACGCTCAGGAGCATAAAGGGGCAGTCCCGAGAGCGTTCTGGGCTCATCCGTGGAATCATCCTGGGGTCCTGCGTCTCATCGTCTCTGGGTCTTCAGGCTTTGCTCGGCATCGTGGGTCAGGCAGCATGTACGCTGACCGACCCGTTCATGTAGTTAATCCGCTACTCACATAGTTAACCGTATAGTTATCACTTCGGTGTTGAACTAGTGTACGTTTATGTAGTTAGCCCTGTTGAGGTGTTGTAATAAACATGTTGCCTCCAACTTCAGTGTGTGGCTCCGTACAACACACTACAACGAGTCAGAAGTGTTAAGAAATATTGTTAGGTGATAGCCTAGTGTAGAGATGTTAATTAGGAGGAAACTACTCACCAAGCCGTCTTCGGACAAGGAAGATGATGACGGGGTGATTCCCCAGTCGGCTCCGGGTCATCAAGCCCCGGAGATCGGGCACGAGGAGGACCTGCCGCCGATGCAGCGGGCCGACATGGACCTCGCCGCTTCGCCGCCACCAAGGAGGGTGCGCTGATCAAGGAATGACTGCCTCGGCGACCTTCTGACCGCTGTGGTGGCTTTGGCCGCCGTCCTGAAGAAGGAGGATGACGACGACACGCCGGAGTCGCGCCGAAAACTCTCCGCCGTCGCTGCCTCCCGCGCGCGGGAAACCGAAGGAACACGGCCCGCGCAAGCGGCCGCCATTTTGACGAGTGGGCGGGACGGGGTTCCAGCCAAATTGGACCTCCCGCCAAAAGCGCCGTCTCAAGACCGCGCTCTCAAGAAGAAGCTTCCGTTCGTCCGGGAGTTTGCGGCTGCGGGTGGCGACTGGGAAGCCTTCCGACGCCGTTTCGCCGCCGCCTGTGATCTCTCGGGATGGACGAAGAAGGAGGCGCTGCGGGCGCTTCCCACAGCACTGGATGACGACGTCTTGGTGG